GCTAAGATTCCTGATAGGCCTCATAAATTACTTCAAACAAACAAGGGATTGTAAGGAGAAAAGAAAGGGGAGAGGAAGAGGAAAGAAGCATGGAGTCAAGAAGACAAAGGGACAGAGAGGAAAGAGAGCGAGAGTCTGACAAGAGGGCGCTGAGAGCTGAGATTTATTACCATTCATTGTAGCAAATACATTGTTTTGACGCTTTTAGAAGTATGCAGACCATTCCTCTCCCACTGCTGTCTTGGCACAAAGAAATGTGAAAAAAATATAATGCAGAAAAATCTATTTATTATCCTTTATGACGAGGCCAGAGCTCTTCCTCTGCTCACACATGATTAATCCCAGATTTCCAGCAGATGCACTCACAGAAACTCAACCTGGCACGTCCAGTAAATCTCTTAAAGAGATATCATCCTCTGATCTCCAGCAGGCTCATACAGTATGCACGCATGCATACAGTCAGCCTTTCTTGGCAATGCATTCAGAACCCGCATGCAACCTTTCAGCAGACTTTCCTGTTTGAGCAAAGACGCCGCAGTCTCCACTCAGCACCACCGTGACAAAAAAGAAATCCAACGTATGAGATATGAATTGAGTCAGATGTAGCACAGACAGCGGAAGCAGAGAAGTCAGAACAAAGCCAACTGTTTTAAGTTCCACATTATATCAGTGACAAGCCTTTGGCCGGCCACGCGCCTGTCCACGAACCGAGAGCCCACCTCAGAGAAAGAGCTTTCATAGTGGAAGAGAAATTAAGCTGAACATCGCTGTGATTAATGTATGGAAAGCTGAGGGTGACAGATGTTGTTCTTGGAGTTTGGGTTCAAAAGAGTGGACGAGATTCAAGACTTCGCTCACTGCCAGCTTCACTTCGCTCCCCAGTATGCACCGACATAACCTTTGCAGCATAACCCGATGCCCGTGCGGGCGCTTAAGCAGATACATGTAAAAATATACATGCATGTCTCTTTAAAACATTCAACAGTGACTAATCCTCTGGACCGTTACTAAACCTAGTAAGCTGACATTCAACAATTCTCTCCTCCTCCTCACTTTATTTTCTCTCCAGTGAGCACTTGAATCAATGGATCCCATATCCTCTGACTTTGTAGTCCCCTCTTGTCTTCTCCTCTCCACTGACATTCACGCTCAGCCGACTGGCGCGCACGGGTTTCTGTCCTCCCCCCTTTGCTCTTGGAACAACCGCTGCATACTTCAAAACCCGCAGTGAAAGCTCAACAACTGCATACAATATGAGCACAGGCAAAGCTGCCGAACAATACTGACGCTGAGCCAAACACACACATACACACACAAATAGGTCTTCACACAGATGAAAGAAAGAAAGAAGCGAGAAATAAAACTTGGAACAGAATGAGGCTAAACAAAAGCGACAGAGGAGCAGGAAAAAGTCAAGGCCTGCGATGGTCAAAGGTAAAGTCTCGGATTTAAATGTGAAAAAAGCCCTAAGATATTTGCTTTATCTTACAGTATTAAATGAGTTTCAGTGCTGCTATCTTAAAAACAACATTGTAATTTGTATCTGTACTGATCTAAAAAGCATAAAAACCCCTCAGCCAGAGGCAGAGGACGGTGTGGGAAGCTAATCCAGATGCTCAAATTTAAATTTCATTCCAACCAAACGTATTTTTCGCTGCAAGACATTCTGCCTTTTTGAACTGTGGATGACCCGTGTGTGGCAGACAGTTGGCCGACAGTTCGCTCTCGCCTCAAAGCCT